CCAAAGATCTCGGTTCCTTTCGATATTCGCGCATATCGGACCGTAACTTCCTGAATTATGGCCCCTGATTGTACGAAAAATCACATTTTTAGCTTGTGGACCCTATAGAGGTCATAATTTTTATCCAATTTAAAAAAACGTATTATTATATCACCGTTACACCCTAAGGATGGCTGAGTTCGAATTTCGTGAAAATCAACCCAATATTGACAGACAAAATGGCCGCCGTTCGTTCTCAAATAAACTTGAAATGTAAGTTTATAACCCAAAGATCTCGGTTTCTTTCGATATTCGCACATATCGGACCGTAACTTCCTGAATTATGGCCCCTGATTGTATGAAAAATCGCGTTTTTAGCTTGTGGACCCATTAGAGGTCATAATTTTTATCCGATTTAAAAAAACGTATTATTATATTACCGTTCCAACCTAAGGACAGTTGAGTTCGAATTTTGTGAAAATCGCCCCAAAATTGACAGACAAAATGGCCGCCGTTCGCTCTCAACTAACGTAAAGATCCAAAGATCTCGGTTCCTTTCGATATTCGTGCATATCGGACCGTAACTTCCCGAATTATGGCCCCTGATTGTACGAAAAATCGCTTTCTTTTTAGCTTGTTCTATATCCATCTCTCGAAAATGTGGGCGTATCCTGCCTGGCAGCCGCTGGTTGTCAATTAAAAAGAATTTGTTACATTCTTAGTTTTAGCTGTTCAAGCAATGTTTCCGATGTAAGAGATTTAAGAAACGAAAGACAGTCGAGTTATTTGAAACTTGATAAATGTAAATCAATGTTTCACATTTTATACAGTAATTAATGTTGCTAAATGACATTTTATATGCTTGGCACTCAGTTCAACAGTTGTATATAAAAAAATGCATACTTCTTGTGTCTCAATAGGTCAAGCAACTCGTAAAACTTTGTTATAAATAATAATTAATAAAATCGCCCATATACGAAGAAAACCAAAACCCAACTACAATTTGCGAAAGTGTGGTATTAAAAGCGGATAAATAAATTAATAATACAGATATAGCAAGTTGATGCAAAATAGACAATTAGTGATAATTTTGGATTTTAATAGAAAAGAGGTGGCATAAAATTAATTGCATCAGGAGAATAAATGGGACTTTGATATTAGCAACAGAAATTCATATTTCGATTACTATAAGGGAGCCACGGTGATGCAGGATGCGACTGCAAGGGACAAGGTTGAGTCGTTTGGATTGGATAACAAACCTAAGTACCGTGTACACATTGGGGTGCACGTAAAATAACCCTTGGCAGTTAGAATTTGGTATGACTGTGAGCCGTAGTGCCGCTGTCCGGCCGAAATTGGCCTCATAGCACACTGTATGGCCTATGTTCGTCTCCCTTAACCCAGTTGGAGCTGAACAGTAACCCCACTTTCATTTCATTTCATTTCGAATACTAAACATATCCGAACTCCATTTTAATTGCCTTTTTTTCACACATTTTATTTCTTTCCTGCCCACCCATATGAACCCCTTTGACTTTGCGGACCCTAAAGATAATTTCACGGACCCTAGGATGGGAAAAATTGTTCTAAAACATGTACTTATCTAATCTACTTCCTGTAATTTGGCCCCTTTATCAATGACAAAAGCCTTTTTAATCACTGATTATATGTAATCGTTGATTACAAAAAATTATAGTTAAAGATTAGCTAATCTGACTTTTGAGAATACCAAACTTAGTCAACCACTAATCTCTAACTAGCTAGTTACTGATTAGACCTAATCACAGATTATTTTAGACACTGTTCGAAAAAATGGGCCTTATTGATTTTCAGCAATTTCCGATAATTAGTGCCAGAGTTATGGCCCTTGCTCACTTTGAAAAATATTGTGGATGCTCTAGAGACTAAAGTTAATATCCGATTGACTTTAAATTTATACACAGTGTTTAAGGTCATGAGATGAAGACTTCTGTTCATTTTCAGCGATTTTCGATAATTACTGCCAGAGTTTTGGCCCTTGATCACTTCAAAAAATCTTGTAAATGCTCTAGAGGCTATAGTTAATATCCGATTGACTTTAAATTTATACTCAAGTGTTTGAGATCATGAGACGAAGAATCATATTGATTTTCAACGATTTCCGATAATTACTGCCAAAGTTATGACCCTTGATCACTTTGAAAAATCTTGTGACACTCTAGAGGCTAAAGTTATCATCCAATTGACTTCAGATTGATACATAGAGTTTAAGGTCTTGAGACGAACAAGTATATTGATTTTCAATGAATTTTGATAACTTGAACAGCTAAATCCATGATGTTAAATATTTCGTATACTAAACGTTAGCATGGGGCAGAACTTTATATAAACCAAACACATTCTAATGGTTTTCTGATAATTACTTAATGAGTTGTTATTCTTAATCAGATTTGAATGTATTATAAAAAGTAAAAATATGCGACAACTCTTGTTGACTGCCGGTAGGGCTGTACGATATTGCAAAAAGGGACGATATCGATATTGGCATTTTGTTCAACGATATAGTTAAATATCGCGATATTATACGCCCACATTTTCATGTGGACGTATAATGTCGTCGCCCCTGTTTGTCCGTCCATCCGTCCGTCCACAATTTGTTTGTGGACACTCTACAGGTCACAATTTTTATCCGATATCAACGAAACCTGAAATATAGCTTTATCTCCCTAAGATCTCGGTTCCTTTCGATATTGGCATGTATCTGACCATAACTTCATGGATTATGGCCCCAGATTGTACGAAAAATCGCATTTTTAGCTTGTGGACACTCTAGAGGTCACAATTTTGATCCGATTTTCATGAAACGTGAAATGCATGTTTATAACCCAAAGATCTTGGTTCCTTTCGATATTCGCGCATATCGGATCCTAACTTCCTGAATTATGGCCCCTGATTGTACGAAAAATTGCGTTTTTAGCTTGTGGACCCTATAGATGTCATAATTTTTATCCGAATTAAAAAAACGTATTATTATATCACCGTTACACCCTAAGGACGGCTGGACAGGGGCGACGACAAAATACGTCCACATGAACAGTCTACAGATCACAATTTTTATCCGATTTCAATGAAACTTGAAATATAGCTTTATCACCCAAAATTCTCGTTTTCTTTCGATATTGGCATGTATCAGACTGTAATTACATGGATTATGGCCCCTGATTGTACGAAAAAATCACGTTTTTAGCTTGTGAACACTACAGAGGTCACAATTTTTATCCAATTTGGTTTAAACTTAAAATGTATGCTTATAACCCAAAGATCTCTGTTCCTGTCGATATTCGTGCATTTCGGAACATAACTTCCTGAATTATGGCCCCTGATTGTACGAAAAATCAAGTTTTTAGCTTGGGGACCCTATAGAGGTCATAATTTTTATCCGATTTAAAAAATCGTATGATTATATCACCGTTACACCCAAAGGATGACCGAGATGTCAGGCCCAAAACTGACAGACAAAATGGCCACCCTTCCTTCTCAAATAGCGTAAAAATATGGTATATCAAGGTTGTGGACCTTATATAGGTCACAATTTTTATCTGATTTTGTTGAAACTTGAAATGTAAGTTTATAACCCAAAGATCTCAGTTCCTTTCGATATTTGCACATATCGAATTGTAATTTCCTGAATTATGGCCCTTGATTGTAGGAAAAATCACTTTCGTTTTAGCTTGTTCTCTATCCATCTCTTGAAAATGTGGGCGTATCCTGCCTGGCAGCCACTGGTTTATAATATAGATTTTTTAAAATGAACAAAACAACATCCTTTTTGGATAAAAATTGAATACAACCGCTGATGTTTAAAAAGCGTCTGCTTGTGACCTTGTGCAAGAAAATTCTCAAATATCCCCTGCAGCGAAAGTAAGAAGATGCGGTCTTCAAGTCTTGTATTGTAAGTTCAAAAACTTTAACAAATGCTAAATGATCCAGACTATCTTCCATTCAAGCATTCAAATGGCTGCGGTATTCCTGGCCTAACAGTGACAGTAATCTATTTATAGAATGTTTTATTCTTGCTTTCAGAAATTAAGTTTCATAGAGTTTTCTAAAAATATGACAACCTATAAATTATAACCTGGTAATTAGCCGCGGTAGTGGGAAATTTCAGGCGTTTAGTAGGCCTAAGCTTTACATGTAGTAACAACTGACAATTTATTGTCGACTAAAAACAAAGTAAAAGTAACGCATACACGATGCAGTGGAAAAACGGCTGCGGACACTGCGCAAGTGTTTTCAACATTTAACATTCTCAAAACATTAGTTTTATTATAGTTTATTGCCGTCGGCTAATTTCCCCTGCTGTATAGTGTATTTATTATCTATTTTTATGATAATTTTTTTCGATATTTGAAGTTTTTGGTGATATTCGATAAACCACTATATCGACGATTTTTGCCACATGATTTCGTAGTTGGGTCTGAAAATACCATATCTCGATAAATGACTTTATCGAGAATATCGTACAGCCCTACTGCCCGTCGATTTAGCTGCTGTGGGCGTATGTTTCGTTGCTTGGCAACCTATCTTTAGCTTGTGGATTCTATAGAGGTCACAATTTTTTTCCGATTTTAAAAACCATTTAGATATATCGCCATAATGAAGGTTGAATTATAATTTCAGAAAAATCGAAATGAAAGTGCCCAACAAAATGGCCGCATTTTCTCTTTGTGCGCAAATTGTGTATAAGTATGTAATACAAAGGTTATGGACCCTCTAGAGGTCACAATTTTTATCTGATTTTGATGAAACTTAAAACAAATCTTTATATTCCAAAAATCTCAGTCCCTTTTTATATTTGCACATTTCAGATCATAACTTTCTGGATTATGGCACCTGATTTTACGAAAAATTGTTTTTGTTTTTAGCTTGTTTTCTATCCATCTCTGCAAAATGTGGGCGTATTCTGCCTGGTAGCCACTGGTTATATAATTGATGTACATGTACATTTTTTTTGTATATTCATTAAATTTTATGTTTTGCAGGCCTTCTCTGTTTTCTTTGTCTGTATTGCTATCACATCTGATGTGGTGTGTTACCTCTTTATACCCGTTCAGTGGTTATTTTTTGCTGCTAGTACTTATGTTTGGGTTCAGTATGTTTGGCATACTGGTAAGTATAAATATATGATAAGAACTGTAGTGTGCTAGAGAGAGAGAGAGAAATGGGGTTTAACGTCCACTCGACACAAACTAGGTCAATTCGGGACTAACACATGGTTTTAATTTTATTTTAATAATTCGCTTGCGCGTAGGGGTCTTTAGCAGTGGGAGGAAACCGGAGGACCTAGAGAAAACCCACGAGGTTGGACAGGCGACCCTACTCCTTGTCACGTACAACCGGGGATTCTGTAGTGTGCTGAAGTCATATAACTAAACATCCATCTGTAGATCAAATGGACATGTATTACCATAATGGCATGCAGCTATAAATTAATATATAATTACCTTTATTGCATGGTCATTAGTGATGGTTCGATAATCAGTTTCAAAATCGATAAGTGGCCTATCGAGAGAAATTGGTATCGCCCGATGCACAACAAGTTTACCGGTACTTGAGTTTCCAATATCTGTTCAAAATGCCTCGGTAAATACCTTTAAAATATTGACAAACGTTACACCTAAATAACCACGTGCACAACAACCGAAATAAAACTTGTTGCTGTTTAGACGTACCGGTAATCCAAGACTCTCATCGGGGCCGTAAAAAGGAATGAAAAGTACAAAATCCTTAACAGTTTCTGTTACCTAAATTGCCTCGTGCACGGCAACCAAAGTTTTGTTTCGGTTGCCGTGGGCTTTGCTGTTTGGAATTACCGGTAAAAAAAAGTGTGTCATAAGGGAACGTAAAAAGAAAAGAATAAACTGTTCAAAATCCTTACCGGTCTCCGTTTTTTTTTATACGCCCACATTTTCATGTGAAACTTCCAATCAGTAGAAACAGGAAACACAAACCAAATACAGACGGTTTGATGGGATCAATTTTGACTGAGTCAAAATGATGCATTTGATATTCAGATAAGTTCATATAAAATAATTATATGAACGATGGATATAACAATGGTTTTTTGATACTGTATTCTATTAATTATTTTATATCAACTTATCTGAATGTCAAATGCATCATTTTGACTTAGTCAAAATTGATCCCATAAACCGTCTGTATTTGGTTTGTGTTTCCTGTTTCTACTGATTGGAAGTTTCACATATTACCTAAACAGGACTGCATCTTCAAGCTCTAGACTTGAGAGATCACCATTACAGATGAGGAAGGAACTAAATGCCACAAGGAAGGAAACTGAAAGGTTAGTGAAATTTGAAGAACATTTAAACTTTATGTTTGCTTGTGAAGAAAAGGATCTGATTCCAAAATGCCTGCAAATCAAGCTAAAACCCCCATGTGAAAATGTTTCCTCAGTTAATAACTCATGGAAATTGATATTATGGAACACCTCAAAAAACCACAGAAATGAATCCATGAACTTCTACAAAACCCGTATTATTGACATTAGGTAGGCACTTGGACTTTTTTTTCAAGTTGTCCTAATGAGGTTTAAAATGTCACTGGGGGAAATAGCTTTGAAATACCTTTAAAATGATACCTCATTTGTCCAAATCCCTTCACTACAATCCGAGTTACAGCATTTTGAAGGGCGCAATTAAGGACTAATTAAAACATATTACCTAAACAGGACTGCATCTTCAAGCTCTAGACTTGAGAGATCACCATTACAGATGAGGAAGGAACTAAATGCCACAAGGAAGGAAACTGAAAGGTTAGTGAAATTTGAAGAACATTTAAACTTTATGTTAGCTTGTGAAGAAAAGGATCTGATTCCAAAATGCCTGCAAATCAAGCTAAAACCCGCATGTGAAAATGTTTCCTCAGTTAATAACTCATGGAAATTGATATTATGGAACACCTCAAAAAAACACAGAAATGAATCCATGAACTTCTACAAAACCTGTATTATTGACATTAGGTAGGCACTTGGACTTTTTTTTTTCAAGTTGTCCTAATGAGGTTTAAAATGTCACTGGGGGAAATAGCTTTGGAATACCTTTAAAATGATACCTCATTTGTCCAAATCCCTTCACTACAATCCGAGTTACAGCATTTTGAAGGGCGCAATTAAGGACTAATTAAAACAATGCATTTTCCATTAAACTGATTAAAAAATTGTGATGGTAAAAACGACAGAAAATAAAAGAGCCACTTTCTAACATCAAAATGTTCCTTGTTATTTAAGTTATCATCATGAAATTTTCACAGGAGGTAGATAACAGTGTTGAGTTGATGTAACGTGAACGATCACTCATGACCTTTGCCCCAAAGTGACGAAGGTCAACAAAGGTCAAGGTCAGACGGAATTGTAGAAGATAAGGGCAACTGTTTATGCCAATATCTTCCCTGTGAATAAAGATATATTGATGAATCTTTCACAGTAGGCACATTACAGTGTTAAGATGCCATCTACATGAAGAGATGAAGTATCCATCAAATGTCAAGGTCAAATGGAGCCGAGCTGGCGGAGACGCTCCACGAGTCGGACGTGACACAACGTCAACCCTATCATGTAATATATCATTTTGAAGAGAAAAGCGAGCTGATTTCCACTAAATGAAAGATAAAGTCATACATACTGAAATGGGTTCAATTACACCTCCAAGAAGATGAGGTCGTCAAGAAAATAATCTGTCAAAACTTGTGACAATGTCATTGTGTAATCCTCGGCATCCGCTTCAAATTGATCAACTGACCAATAAGCAATCTCGACTGACAACGTTTTTCTCTTTCTGGGGAGAAGAATTTCGACAGGTTTTCCATGATATCTGACATCCAAATTATCCTCGTTGAAATAATGGTCCAAATAACTGTCAACAATCTCCTCGGGATGTGAGATGATTTTGCATATCCTTTTGATTTTTGTCTCTGCAACTTCAGTTGACATCACAGCTTTAAGTTCAGCTTTCAAACTGTCTACAGTCAAATTCTGATCAGCAATAGCCGTCTTGATTATTTTCTCAATCCTCCCTCTGTACTGAGTGTCTTTCTGTCTCACCTTTTCAGCTTGTCTTTGGAGGTATGTAGCTCTCATTTGTTCCTCACGTTTTTTACGAATGGCCCTCTTGTTCCGTGCTTTGGAGATGGCAAAGTAAATTATACGTTCTTGGTCTTCAGTGGATTTACTGTTCAGCCACATAAGGGTTTTATTTTTTGCTGCTCGCACTTTTCCATCAATGAACCCAAAGGTGGCATTAGGGGCTCGGCGGTATTGATGATCGGTCATCCCCATCACCTCCTCGCTGAAAATGTTGTGAACAGGAGCACATTTGATGGCCTCCAGCATTTCAGGAGTAGGGGATGAGAGCTCACCCGTGAGGTACGACTCCATCTGCCGTTCAAGGACTGATTGAGCATTCAAGAAGCTTCAGGGCTACTTGCTCAAAGTAGGCCTCATCCATTTTATCTAGTTCAGCCTGCAAGGATTGGAGAACTTCGTCCGTTGAATCTAGCTGTCTACCAAAAGCATCATCTTTCACTGTTAAGATTGACATTGGGTCATCCCTCAGACTACGGATCTTCTCCATCAATTTCTTCAGGGTCGGCACAGCTTCGAGATTGGACAACTTGTCTGCATTCCCATATAAGACCATCATCCATGGCCCAGTCAGGATCTTCCCCATGAGCCCCAAGGCTTTCAGCTGCAGGATAAAGTTTGAATTCTGTAAGTCCTTGATGACTGCTGGCTTGAAGCTTGAAGTACAGTTGGAGAATTCCTTAAAGTAGACATTTAGAATCTTGTCCTTTAAGTGGAAGTATGCACCAGCAAGGTGAAACATGACGTGCATGCGGTTGCCAACATATCGTGGCAACATGCTGTTTCTAATATCATCCATTCGCATAAACTCGCGGAATCCCTTGGGATCTCCTACTCCATTTTTATACCTGATTTTGCTGAGCGCCATCACAAGATTGACAACTCCGCAGTCCTTCCCATAACATTGCCCTTTCACTTGCTGTTCACTATCAAATTTCTTCAATGTTTTCCTAGCCTCACTGGCCAGACCATCAAGGGGATGGACATTACACTTTAGATCGAGAAGTTGGATATCAAGAAGTTCCTGAAGCTGATTTCTCAAACAGCGATTGGTAGGTACTCGGTCACCCAGGGTGCTTTTGAGTTTTTGTACTACATTTTCATGGACATTCCTTGGATCAATATTAGAATATGAAGCATATGTCTCAGTAACATCCTGAATGCTTCTTGAAATATGATCCACATAATCACAGGCCTTACCCCCAGAAAGCAAATCAATTTGAAGAATGAGGCTTTCGGGGGGATCGACAGACAAGTTAATATGCACTTCATTAACATGTTCCCCATCAAGAGAGGTGGCATCCCATGCCAGGTTTAAATCGCCCCCCTCCACCATAGCCTCCCCTACATGCACATCATCAAGTACAGACAATTCATATGCCATTTGGCTAATTGTTGAGGCATCCGCACTATAGTCCACAGTCTTCCGAGTCATCTCGGTAACTAATTTCGAAATCAGAGAACCCGCGGTCTCAACTGGCACCTGATTCACCAAACACGCATAAGCAGCCTTTCGGTAGGAGTGGGAGAAGGTTTTTCCATCCTTCTTGGCCTTAATCACGTTCGATGAAGAATTCTTCTGGTCATCATTTACACATGTCAAACGTTCATTTTCAGCTCTAAGTTTTTCATTTTCACTCTCCAAGACTGCCACCCTTCTCTTTAAAGCATTAAGCTCCCACAGGGATATGGTCTGCAGTTTCTTTTTTGACTTCTTGCATTTCTGTTTCTTTCTAACCTTCTTGGGCCCACCATCTGCTTTCAAAAAATTTGATTTGACTTGAATCCTCTCCGCACGCAAGCGATTCTCAATGTTTTTCTTTCGTTCCAGAGCCTGTCAAAGATGGTGATCTGGAGTTTTCCGTCTCCTTAACAATTTGTAATATTTAGATTTGAGAGCTGCCAAAGATCGCAAAGAATTTCGATGCTGTTTACACTTTGCACAGTCCCCTCTCAGGCGAACGTCAACACAAGTAGCAGAGGATGTTGAAGGTGAAGGCTGAGCTTCAGA